TCAGTCACTACCTATTGTGTACCGAAAAATAATATTGACTAGGTGTTTCGTCACCAAAAAAGGATTTATTCGGGAAAAAGAAAGGGTTGCAACCCAGTGCATGTGGACAAGCCATGTACCTACTCAGGCCTGCTGCCACGATGGAGGGGTATTTATAAGAGGGAAAAGGAAGTTAAAGGAAGGGGTAAATTAGAACCATAGAGCTTATTGTTGTAGGGTTCTCCTAATGAAGTAGAGCTTAAGAGCTCCTCCCATAAGCCCTAGCTCCTCCCATAGAACCTCCTAACCAATTATGTTTGCTTAAAGTTCCAGTTAGCCTTTATCACTATTATCCCCAACCTTTCCCAAAACTTAAGAAACCACTCATCTATTCTCTGTCTCTATGCATTTGCCTCTTCTGGATTTTTCATATAAATTGAATCATGCTATATTATAGTATTTTGTGTCTGGCTTCTTTCCTTTAAGCATAATGTTTTCAAGTCTCATCCATGTCATAGAATGCATCAGGACTTCATTCATTTTTATGGGGGAATAATATCCAATTGTACGGCTAGAACACATTTTGGTTTTCCACTCATGAGTTGATGGACATTTAGGTTGTTTCCACTTTTTGTCTATCATGAATAATGCTGCTATTTGTGTACAAGTTTTTGTTTGGACAAATATTTCCAATTATTTTGGGTATATACTTAGGAGTGGACTTGCTAGGTCATATAGTAATTCTATGTTCAACTTTTTCAGGAAATGCTAAACTGTTTTTCCAAAGTCACTACACCATTTTACATTCTCACCAGCAATGTATGAAAGTTCCAGTTTCTCTACATCCTCATTAACATTTCATTTCCCATTTTCTAAAACTTATAGCCATCCTAGTAGGTGTGAAGTGGTACACCATTATGTTTTGATTTACATTTCCCTAATGACTAATGACACTGAATACCTTTTCATGTGCTTATTAGCCATTCATAAATGTTTTATGTAGAAAATTTTAATTGATTTTTCTTTCACTTCCCTTTCCCGCATTGTTCACATTTGTTCTGTACACCTGAAACTAACAATAAAAAAATTTAATTGAATCAATTGGATTGTCTTATTAGTATTATAAAGTTCTATTTATATTCTGAACACAAGTTTCTCTTTTTTATTCAAGTTTATTGGGGTGACAATGGTTAGTAAAGTTACATAGGTTTCAGGTGTACAATTCTGTAATACATCACCTATATATTCCATTGTGTGTTCACCTCCCAGAGTCAGTTCTCCTTCCATCACCATATATTTGATCCCATTTACCCTCATCTACCACCCCTCCCCCCACCCCCCTCTGGTAACCACTAAACTGTTGTCTGTGTCTATGACTTTTTGTTTCTTCATCTGCTTGTCTTGGATATAAGTTTCTTACCAGACATAATATTTGCAAAGATTGTCTTTAATTCACTAGGTTATCATTTTGCTTTCTTAATAATGTTTCAAAGAACATAAGTTTTAATTTTGATAAAGTCAATTTTTTTTTCTTTTAATGATCTTTGCCAAACCCAAGATCAGGAAGATTTTCTCCTACGTGTGGTCTAGAAGGGGGCCAGGGGCTCTGTGTGGGCACATTTCCTAATTCCACTGTCTCCTCTTCAAAGTGAGGCCTTCTAAAGTCCAGGTACTAGAGGGGGGCTCATCTTGCATAGATCCGAGTGTGGTACTAAGCCTGCCAAATTCTGAACAGCAGAAAGTTAGGGGAGAACTAATGGTGAGTGGTCCCAGGAACTTGCCCACAGGAGGCCTTGCTCCTCCATGGGCTCCTATCCAACACTGGGAACAGAAAAGGACAGTCAGGGCAGCTTGTGCCAATAGGGTGACCAAATTAATCCACTTCCATCAAGGCAAAGGAGGGAAACAACCTCAGAGGGAGTGACTCGGTCTTGGGTCTTGTAAACCTGGGCTGTTACTTCCTCCTATTTTCCTGCCTTGTCTTCCCCAGTCAGATTTCAACCTGCATACCAACAATCTCATCCACGGGGATTAACAGAGCTGTCTATGCATTTTCAAGGCCCTGTGGCAGGGAAAGTGGGAACCCATTCCAGGGTAAGGACCTCCTGGCTCCAGGCTCTCCCCACTGGTTGCATCCAAAGGCAATACCCCTAAATGGTTGATGAACACCAAGACCACTGAGTAGTAGCTGTCCCCCTAGATGTGTGGATGGCCTGAAGTCTCTCCAAGAATAGAGAGCTCCAGCACATTCCTACCTTCACAATGAGCTGCCTGGTTTGAACGAAGCCAGCAACTCTGTTTATTCATGCATGAGCAAGCTGCTGATAGGGAGGCAGTGCAATGCAGAGAGACATTCAGCTCTGCACTGCCCATGAATGAATGTGCTTATGTGTTGCAATTCCCTTGGTGCAGGTGGGACATATGATACTCATTCATTCAGCACCAAGGGCTGGCCCGGGACTCAGGGCCAACTCAGCAGCAGCAATCTGTCATTTGTCACACACCTTCTTGTGTTGCCTTTCTCAGCTTGGCTGGAGGCTCTGAGCCATGCCCAAGTAACCATTTCAAAGATTGCCATAGACAATAGAACTCTGTTGTGGTAGAAGTTTACAGAAGACAGATGGCCCCCAAAGACGGATGGCAACCTAGTTTTGTTTTCTTGGGGTGGGGGGCATGCTGACACCAGACAGCAGAGCATAGACTGGCATAAATTGAAAAGATTTTGAAGGGGGGGGGAACTAGAGTGGACCCATACCCAGTGATGTGGACAGGTGATTTCAGGAAGAAAGAAATAGATAGCTGCTGGGGCTTCAGTTAGCTCCCTATTAGATGCATCTATAGAGCAGAAACAGAGACAGAGAAAGAAGATTGAACCTGAGATCGTAAAAATGAAGACGGATGCAATGGGTTGGACCACAGCATCCCAGAGAACGGCTGCCTAGGTCCCATTCACAGCACTGATGCCTATGCTTTATGGACTCCTGGGAGTTCTAGTACTATTACTCCATAGAACAATTTTGATCAGGTTCTGAACTTCCTAATTATATCTCTCTTCAGCGTTCTGTTTACCACCCATCTTCCTTTCCATTGCTGTGTCCAAAAATGAAATAGCATATGGTGTAGAAAGTTCATTTTGGTAAATTTTGGATTTTCAATAACTTATTTATTCAACAAACAGTTCCTGAGGTTCGCCTATGTGCTAGGCCCGATCCTAGATGTTGGGACTATCATGAAACAAGCATGGTCCCTGATCTCACAGGCTTTACATTCTATCAGGGGAGAAGGGAAGATAGAAGTAAACACATAAGCATAATAGGAATATAATCAAATAATGATAATTACTGTGAAGACAAAATAGCAAAATGGCAAGCAACTGAAGTGAAGGTGCCAGAGCAATCACCTCTCAAGAAATAACCTTTGAGCTGAGAACTGAAGGATGAGAAGGAGGAAACCAGGCAAAGACCTTGGGGGAAAAAGCATTCCTGGCAGAGGGAACAGCTGATAAAATTGCCATGAGGCATGAACGTGCTTAGGTTGTCAAGGAGCAAAGAGGAGCAGGAGGAGAAGGCAGAAAGGAGGAATAGTAAGAGATGCCTGTGTTGTGTATGGGCCATACCTCCTTGTTTCTTTAATGTCACATAAACTTTTTGTTGAAAATTAGATAGTTCAAATGATATAATGTGACAACTGTGGCAGTCAGACTCTCCCCACTTTCTTGGGTATTTGTCATTTTCTCTGCTGTTGCTGCTTGCTGTTTATTATAATTGTTGTTTGGTGGTTTAGTGACTTTCCAAACTAATTCTGTAAAGTCTGTATTCTTTGTTGTGTGTAGCCACTGAAGTCTCTCTTAGTTTAATGGTCAGCTAATGATTGGACAGAGATTTCCTTAACCATGGTAGGACACTGCTCCATCCCAAATTTTCTTAGTAAGAAAGTGGGCTAATTTGCATGGGGTTTGTAGCATCAAAACCCATTATTTTATTCCTTGGGAGTGCTGTCAATAACTTTTATTCGGATGAATTTAGGGTTTGTTTGTTTTCTTCTGAGGGCACTTGGTTACTTCCTGCACAGTGTTGGGGAAAGCAAACACCACTATGAAGTAGATGGTCTGGAGGTACTTTGTCCACCTTTTGTTAGGGGGTGACCCTATCACCCAACACACATCACACCTCTCCCCATTCAGGTTCTGGCAATCTAAATGTTGATGGAGAGAGAGAGAGACAGAGATAGACAGAGAGACAGAGACAGAGAGAGACAGAGACAGAGAGACTGAGAGAGAGAGAGAAGCACCACACACCACACCCTTTTTTTCATCTTGCCCATGGGTTCACATGTTAATGGGAATTTGTCTTCTGTACTCAGTCCCAGCCCAACCTTTATCGCCAATGTCTGGCTAACTGTGGACCTGCCACTTTGCCCCACAACTCTCCAGAACCTTCCTTTCTCCCTTTTTACACACCTGTCTCTTCCCTTTTTCTTTTAGATCAGAGACCTTTGGTGCGTGCGCGCGCGCGCGCGCGCGCGCGCACACACACACACACACACACTTCCTGGAATAAGGGGCGTTTCAAAGATTGCTGGTTTTATTTCAATCCCTACCATCTCTGTTCCATGATGGTGTTGTATCTTGCAGGAGTGTCATTTTGTAGGGTCTCCTGGGCCTGGCTTCAGTGCTTTTGGCTTAGGCTACTATTTAATCTTTGCTAATGGACGAAACTTCTTGGCCCTTTTCACTCTCTTGACCTTTTTTGGAATTTTACTAGCACGAGAGGATTTTTTTCTTGAAGTCCCATGAAGCAGTCTTTTTATTTCCCTCTGTATCTTCTTCACCTGGAAGGGAAACAGGATGGTCCCAGAATGACACTGGATTAGAAGAATATGGCAACTGCATGGAAAGGAGGACTTCATGATAGGGGGTGAAGGCTAGCAAGGAAAGGGTGTGAGTCTTGGGGGAGGGAGAATCAATGGGAAAGAAGAGAGGAATTTGGGTGAGGTGGTCTCACCTTGCCACCAGCTCTGGACTTGCGTTGACAGGGGTTCTTACTCTTCTTCATCGCTTTCCTGCTTGAGGTTGATTGTTTCATGGCTTTTCTAGGCTTGTCTGGTTTCCTGGTAACTTTAGCCCTGTTGAAACGCTCCAGTGGTCTACTCCACAACTCTGAGCGGCCCTATAAAATACATTGCCAGGACAACCAAGAGCCACACCCTTATGCTTTGTTTGCTCAGCTAGGCACCTCCCCCAACCAGTAGGGTGTAAGGGGGAGGGGCTCAGACATCACAAAGCACTACCTCTGGCTCTTCCCTGGGGGTGTGAATGCTGGGGAAACCAAGATGTGCTGGTTGGGGTTGGAGAGAGTGGGCATTTTCAGAATATTCCCCTAAAGAGCTTTCCCAGAGTGACCTGCCATCCCTTCTCATCATCTGCACACACAATAGGAAGAAGGTGTTTCCTCCAAACCCTTCCCCATAACCATTCCCAGTCTTTCTTTTATTCTATTCTCTCGCATCTTTCACCATCACCTAGTAATTTGGATATCTTACCTAAAGTCCTTCCTAGATATTATGATTATAGTTAAGTTTCTATGGCAATGCAAATCCCCCCATTTCCCCTCCAACAGTTTGCCCTTATGCACTGTAAAGATCCTTTACTTTTTGGCTCCTACCAGGAAACTTGCCCGTCCCACCTCCTCTTCACAGTGTCTATGTAGATCCTCAGTTTTCTATTCTCTAGTTTGAAATTGCTGCCTTTATCCGTAATCAAAACAGTGTGAAACTGGCATAAGGATAAACACATAGATCAATGGAGTAGAATTGAGTGTCCAGAAATAACCCCATACATCTATAGGCAATTGATTTTTGAGAATAATGTGAGGAACATTCAATGGGAAAGAATAGTTATTTCAACAAAATGGTGTTGTGAAAACTGGATATTCACACACAAAAGAATTTGAACTCTGACTTCACCTTATATACTCAAATGAAACTCAAAACAGATCACAGATCTAAATATAAGAGCTAAAACTCTAAAAGCTGTGGGCCTTGGGTGGATCATTTTCTCTTTCTGACTCTAGTTCCTCATTTGTAAAACAGGGTTAATAATAGCACCTACCATATAAGGTGGCTGTAAGGATTAACTTAAATGAACAGTGATTTTCAAACATGAAAATATAAAGACTCCCAGAGTACATCTGTGGACTCCTGAGAATATGTCTCATGGTCTCAAGTTTGAGAAACACTGCCATTTCCATTCATCACAATCACTAATACCAGTGCTAAAGCCGACACAGATGCCATGTATCACAGCTCACTTATACGTGGTCCCCAAGATTATCCATCAAAATCTAAACAGAACATTTTATACTTGCCATCAAGAATTCACTGACCCTAACCCCCCTGAGAGTATATCCACTGCAATGGTAACTCTTCTATACTGCTAGAGGGAATATAAAGTGTTACAACTACTTTGGACAATTGGTTGGCAGTCAGTATACCTACAATGGAATATATCAGCCTTACAAAGGAAGGAAATTCTGACCCATGTTACAGCATGGATGAACCTGGAGGACATTATGCTAAGTGAAATAAGCCAGTCACAAAAAGACAAACACTATATGATTCCGCTTCTATGAGGTCCCTAGATTAGTCAAAATCACAGTGACAGAAAGGAGAATGGCGATTGCCAGGGGATGTGGGAAGGGGGAAATGAGAAATTGCTGATCAATGGATATAGAGTTTCAATTTTGCAAGATAAAAAAATTCTAGAAACCTGTTGCACAATAATATATGTCTAACACTACTCAACTATACACTTAAAGATGGTTAAGATGGTACATTTTATGTTTCTTGTTTTCTAACCACAATTTTTAAAAGCAACAATAACATAAAATACTGTCAAAAATTTAAAGAATGGAAAGAAAAGAAGTGTTTACCTGTTGGGTCAAAAGCAGCCAGCTGGGAAACCAAGTGGTACTAACACAGCACTCAAGTCCACCTCCTCTGTCTATTTGTTCTGACACCATGATCCAGCTTCTCACCTAAAGTCCAACACAGTGGTCCTCCACCTGGGTTGCATTTTGGAACCAACTGAGGACATTTACAATTTTCTGATGTGATTCCCACCCCTGGAGCTTCTGACCTACTCTGTCTGGGGTATGGTCTGGTAATTAAAAACAAACAAACAAACAAAAAAACAGGTGATTCTAAATAAAGCTAAGATAGAAGACCACTGATCTAGAGAGATTCAGAGTTGGTGTGCAGGTCTCCTTGAGGACTTATGATGGAGTTTCCAGACCTGGTGCACTTTAAGGGACTGAAATGAAGTAGGTGGTGGGAGTGGAGGAGAGATAGAATCAGCTGAGCTAGTGATGACTGGAGTGGTGGGGGGAAGGAAAGGTTAACTTCCAGGCTCCTGGCTTGAACAACACAAAGGATGGTGATATAATTCTATCAGGTGCGGAAGGCTGGAGAGAGGGCCAGTATTTGCAGGGGAAGACCATGGGTTCAGTTAGGAAGATTTCTGGAGCTTCAGATGCCTATGAGAGATCCACACAGAGGCGGTGAATAAGGAATTAGATATAGTAGTCTGGGGTTTGGGGAGGGGTCCACTGCAGAGGAGAATCTGTACCATTTAAAGGTGTAGGGATTCATGAAATCACCCTGGTGAGAAAGTACAAAGTGAGAAAAGAGAGCTTAGAACCAGGCTCTCGAGCACTACAGTACTGGCTTGGGAGGCTGATAAAAAGTAGTGATTTTTTTAATGCTAAAAATAATTACAGCTAATATTTATTAGAAATTAATCTGTGCCTTGCCTTGCTCTCCAAGCTAAAGGCTTTGTTTTAACTCACTTCATCCTCACAACCACTTCTGAGTTAGATCATTATGAATAAAGTGTCTAACTGCATTTTGAATTTTGATCTTGAGAGTTTTCAAGCCCCATCCCTCCTCCTTTCCCTTTTGCTCCATACCTGAGCAAGTTAGGTGTTCTGTCCCGTGGCACCAGTGGGAATTTCAAACCATGAAAGGCTCAGCCCCCGTGCACTAACTCCCACCCAGCTCCACCTCTCACCACAATAAAAACCCAAAGTCATCTACCACCGCCTCACTGCTCTTTCACCCTAAAAGGAATCTGAGCCCTTCTCCTGGGGGATTCTTTGTGCTGTTTACCATGTGAGTAATCAACCGTATTAGTTTCCTGTGGCTGCTGTAACAAACTTCCTCAAACTTGGTGGCATGAAACAGAAATGTATTCTCTCACAGTTCTGGAGTCTGGAGTCAGTTTCACTTGTCTGAAATTCAAGTTTCAGCAGGACAGTACTTCCTCTGGAGGTTCCAGGGGAGAAACTGTTCTTAGCCTCTTTCAGCTTCTGGTAGCTGCTGGCATCTCTTTGCTTCTGGCCTCATTGCTCCAATATTTAAAACTAGCATCTTTGAATCTCTCTCTGCTCTCTTCATATCTCCTCCTGTGTGTGTGTGTGTGTGTGTGTGTGTGTGTGTCTCAAATCTACCTTTGCCTGCTTCTTATAAGGATACGTGGGACTGCATTTAGAGCCCACCCATATAATCCAGGATGAAGTCCCCATATCAAGACCCTTAATTTAATCACATCTGCAAAAACCCTTTCTTCAAAAAAGGTAACATTTACAAGTTCAGGGATTAGGGCCGGAAGTCTTGAGGAGCCATTGTTCAGCCTACCACTACATCCCCTAGTGCCTATGTGTCATTTGTCCTGACATCCAAATAGTCTTGGGTCTGGGAGGACTGCCCAGTATCTAATAGGGAAAGTTAGGTACTCAAAAGAGTAATATTATTCCTAATTCACAGATGATGGGACTAAAGGAACACTAGAGGTTGGTGAAGTGAGAGGAAGGTGTGTTTAGTTATGTGTTCTTTCAATAGGACAACTCTCTAATTACCTGAAAACTCTCTTGGGTCCTATACAGAAAATAGGCAGAAAGTGAAAAGGCCATCTGCAGTGCAATGAGCTGGCCTGGAAGTGTTGGAGGGAAAGAAAAACAAAATTGAGACCCAAAAGAGCACACCAATTCCTGAGTACAGAATAAGCTGATTATACTGTTGAGGAGAGCAGACACCGGGAATGCAGGCAGGAAGCTAGCAAGTGGCTCCAACACTGTAGTGGATTTTCAGCTGTATTTATATGGAATTACAGCTACAGTTGTTATACATCATCCTACTTTTAGTAAGCAGGAGATATTCAAAATCTACTGTCAAGGTTGAAGGTAATTACTCTGACATACTGTTTTCCATAATCATCAGGCTTACTTTAACGTTTTGTTCTTCACAGTTCTCTATCAGTTCCTCCTATGGCTCTCCTTGACAGTTTATCTAGCACATATGATTAGTCATGTTTTTCAACACTCCTCAGTGAGGTTGGATTCAGTTCAGTTCCCTCACAGAGGTGAAATCTGAGTTCAAGTACTGGTTCTGCCACGAGCTTCCTGAGTGCCATGGAGCAAATCCCTTCTCCTATCTGGGTTTCAGATTTCAAATCAGAAAAAATAAAAAGTCATATGGCCCTGCTCAAAAGCACACAATTCTTTTTTTTTTTTAATTGGGGAATTGGGGGGATGGGAACAGTGCTGGGGAATTGGGGAAGGGGAACAGACAAGTTGCTGTC